AGGAAAAATACAAGAAATTCAATAACCCAGAGAAGTTTCACTTCCTCCGTTCTTTGGTCGCTGTGAAGCTCTATCAAAAGGCACAAAGTTTATATGTATATTCCGATCAGTAAATACTCGTAACAGTTGCCCTTTAATGGCACTAATATTCCTCATTGGGACCCATAGTCCCATGTCCCCCCTAAATATGACTGTAAAATCTTCTAAAATTAAACAAATATGCCAAAATGAGTTTCTCACTAAAAAACCTAAAATATAATTGCAATTCATTAATATCAAATGAATTTAATTTCAATTTAATTTAACATCATAGAATGATTCTTAGCAAAATTTAAACAAAGCAATATTATTTGAAACTGTAAAAAGATTTATCAGACTTTCCTTTAATTATTTTCATTGGTTTTAATAAAATTTTACAAACTCTAGTTACAGGAAAAAAAAGCTTTTCCAAATACATGTAAATAAAAAGAATCACAAGATATGCAACTCCTACCTTATTTTATTTTCTGCTTCCCTTAATTTAGCATCAGCATCATTAAATTGTTGTCTTGCCTCATCAGCGGCTGTACAATAATATAAATATACATATATTATAACTGAATATAGCATCAGCTGTTTATAATTCATCAGAACTTTCATATTACTATGTACACATCAGAAATAATGCAACAAACAGACAATAAATATGCCTTCAATAAACATACATGCAAATTATAAAACATGTATGTTCCATGACATGTTGTCACAGGAAATGGCAAATGTTGAACACTTGATCATTTGTTTAAGTTATCAACAAATCATAGGTCATTTTTAACAAAATTTTCAAGTCTGAATAAAACAGATAATTTCAGTTAAACAATTAAGGAATAATGTTGGCCTAAGTTGTGTTTCAGAATGGCTGTTTAACACCAGATGAAGATGGACCAACCCACTGACTGACACAACAAAGCTATTCCAGTATACAATGTATATTAAAAGTGCGGTTTCATTTTAAGCACATTAAATGTCTTTATTCCTCCAGTAACGCTTCTGTTTACATCCATGCTAGATAAACTTATCTTGACCCTAACCTCATTCAATTTGAGGCAAACCATGAGCTTTAAAATGACATCATTCTGGGCATTTTTTTTATAAATGGGTTGCATGCTATGTATGATGTCAATCCCTTGTTTACAAAAAGCTTTTAGAAGACTTAAAACTTTTAAAATACATTATATCATTTGAAAGAGATAAATATAAAACTCTGTGAAATCTTATTTTAGGAAAGAAATCGAGTCAAATCAGGAAATAAGAAATATCAATAAAAATATCAATTAGTTATTTTCATCTTTTTGCAAATTTTATACACATATATATATTTTGCATTTTATCTTGTAGAAAACTGTATATAACCTGCTATAAGAGCTTTAGTAGCATCATCATAGTCGGGCATTTTGTCTTCATCTTGTTGATCTGTAGTCTCACTTGTTTTATTCTCTTCCTACAATAACAGTATTATATTTATTATTGCACTAAGTTACACCTTGAACCTTTTAACATACATACACTTGAGGTATGGATCAAACTTTTGACAACCATATTAACAGTGTACATGCCATTAAAATCAAATGAGCCGTGTCATGACAAAACCAACAAAATGGGTTTGCGAACAGCATGGATCCTGATCAGACTGCGCCGATGCCAAGCTGGTCTGGATCCATGCTGGTCGCAAAACCATTATGTTGGTTTTGTTGTGACACGGCTCAAATAAATTTCATAATGCTAAACTCAAACACTAACCATACAAACCATTAAAACTAAATTGAGCTAGTTTGTAAACAACAATGTTCCAACCTGTATAATTCACACGAGATGATCTTTGGTTTAAACAATATTTTTTTCTTCTTGCAAATTTAAAAACACATATAATATATAAATTACAACCATGATAAAATAAAAAGCTTAAAGCTTATATGAAACTCTCCTGGTGATTTTTGTGGAATGTGTTTGATACTTTTCTGAGGAAGATGTTTATCTTATGAGTATTTCACATCAACACCTTCAACAACAATGTCAAAATCATTTGTTCCTTAAAAATTTCTTACTGTAGACTGATTGATATTGTAGTATTATTCTCAATTCAATTCTACTATAGCTTTATAAGTCATTTCATCAATACATATTGAAATAAAATGAAAACTGAATTAAAATAAAAAGAATGGAATATTTCAACCTCTTACTAGTTTGAAATAATGAACTGATAAACTTTGAATCAAATAGACATTTAAGTCTCTCTTACATATGACTAAAACATTCTGTACTATTTTTTATCAGTATGTCCCTTACTAAGGCTTAGCACATTACTATGGAAGGCGTAAACTTGAGGAATGAAGGGTCTAAGGCTTGTCTGACAAATTTTGTAATATCAGACACTAGCATGGTATTCTCTATAACTACGTATGCATGTATGATTTCTTACAGAAGTAATGCAAATATTCAGTCACATTGACAAAGATAAGATTATAAAGCATCTTTCTAGCTATATTCTTCATAGTAACCCCATTTCATCTACTATGCTTTATCATGGGCACAATGGTATAATTACCATACCAAAATGAGCTAGCTTGCTTACAAGGCTGTATTATAACTTCACACAACAAGGTTTTCTATAAAAACAGTAGACAGCTGGCGCTATCAAGATTATGACTAAATATATCAGAAGTTATATACAACCTAATTGTATACATATATAATTTATTGAATATGACACCCCACTTACCAAAATGATTACTCAGAAATCTTTGATACTTTCATAACATAATATACTACTGATGTAAAATATAATCTCTTATTTATATAATTTAAGAGAAAAATTTTCATTTATTTTTTTGTTTGTTTGGGTATTACGTCAAACCAACACAATATAAATCATATGGCAACTTTCCAGCTTTACTGGTGGAGGAAGAACTCAGGTTTCCCTCCATGCATTTCATCAGGTACCAATGGGCACCAGAGAAGACCACACCACAGATGTTCTGTAAGCAAGCTGGATAACTCCCTCAAATGAAAGAATCCAAAGTCTCTGTCCGGATTCAAACCCACAGCGGTGAGGGGCAATTGAATTGAAGTCAATAACCTTTACCGCAAGGAAAGTGACACCCAATATCACATAGTATGATTAGTGATATTATGTTAACTAAAATGTTATCATGAATAAGTAACTACAACAGAATGGAGACATCATGCATATATACTGGATATTTAAGTAGGACTTCAATACCAAATAGATATAACTTCAAACACCAGTGGTAGAATATACATATAAAGTTTCAGAACCACAATTGTCACCAGTAACAATATACTACCTTTTCAATGAGGTGAGGCTGACCTGATGGAGCAGTACCTACCCCTGGTTTCTGAAGCAATTTAACAAAGTCACAATAGATAAATAACAATAGCACTGCATGCAGTGTTAACCCTTGTATGTTGAGGGCAACAACTGTCACTATCAATAACCCATTTTAGATATTCAAATTTAAAAAAGAAACATAACTTCTAAAATTATTGCAGGAAAAGGACACTTGTGTAACAATTGGACCTTGTATTCCAAGCTTCATGTTGATATCATTCATAGTATTCAAATCCTTCTACTTAATAAGCAAATTTTTCCCTAAAAATTAAAGATCTCAATTGCTTATTGCTTGATAGTAAATCAAGAACCTGTACAATGTCTGAACAAACAAACAGGAAGATTTAGCTCAAAATGCATGACATAGTTTCAAGTTTAGTTTCAAGTCAATGCCTTCATTGACTTTGCATGCAAAACTTTAACCAGGAATTTTCTAAGATCACAAAGGGTCAAAATTAATTCATCAGAGTTATGGGCCTTGGACTGTGATCTCGCACAATAATTTCAGACACATATTAAAGACACATATTAAAGATGCATGCTTCAAAATGAGCCAAAATAGAATGCCATTGACCAGGATAGCCCCAGTATTCTTTTTTAATAGTCAAGCTAAACACAAATGTTTCAAAACATCTTTAATTACCTTGGATTTTAAAGATTTAAAATGCATTCAGTATTTGGAACTATTGTTGTTGTTTTGTTAATCAAGGAAAACAGTGTTAGTAAACACTTGACATGAAAATTTACTAACTGAAGCCTGCACTTACAATTTCCTCATCATTGTATTCATCATCGTCATCATCATCATCGTCGTCATCATCATCATCATCATCACTATCATTGTCTTGAGGAGTTGGTGTTTCGGGTAATCCAGTCTGAAAGAAAATATTTTTTGTACTTCTGAAAAACTGAATAGTTGTTAATTTCTTCTAACCAAAATACTGAAAATTAATTAATGTAATAAATGTTAAACTTAAGTTTTAGATATCAGCTTTGTCCTTTGTACTGGTTGGGGACCACCAAAACCGGACAACCACCAAACCCGGACGGCCCCGAAAATGCTAAATTTAGTATTTTCTTTGTTCAGTGGTTGTCAGTCACTTTTTTATAGGCAATAAGTGCATGTTTCTTTCAAAATTAAGTAAATGAATTTATTTCAACCTCCGTAAATGGTAATATTTTAATGTCTATTTCAAGAATGTTAACGTTGAAATTCGGGGGTCAAGAAAGCAATGTCTGACCTCATATACCAGCTATAATCATTTGCAAAGTGAATAATAGAATATCCAAAACTTCAGCATTTATTGCTGACATATTGTATATCATGTTACAAATCAAAAATCAAAACACCCAGGCTTTTATCTGAATTAAATCACATCATGTACATATCTGTCCGGACACATGGTACTGTAGTGTAGACAATTTAGGTAATTTTGATACCCTCCTTGTTGAGCCTCAGATATAATTGTCAATAAAATCAGAAATAAACAAACTAGTTTATTAGTTAGGAGAAGAACCTAGCTGAACTGTGTCAAATTTTTTGGTCTCTAGGTTAAAAATTATGAAATCTGTACGGAAAAATGTTCCAAAAGTGTCCGGTTGATGGTCTCCGACCAGTACACATGATTGAACAACAGTATCTGATACACCAATAGATATTTTACACTATCACTGTGACAGAGTTGAAAATATTGTTCTACTATGATGAAAATGACAAATCATTTCAAGCTGCAGTAGACTTGAACTTGACCTATATTACCTGAAACCCCACTAAAGGGTACAGGTGAATCGGAAGTATAAATACTCATACAAAAAACATCTAAGAAATTGCCATACAATGCCCTTAAAATGTGTTTAATTAGTCGTTTACAACTTTCCTACTTTAATTTCATTGGAAACTTACAAAGATCTGAATAAACTAGAAATGTGTCCATAGGACACTGATGCCCCCACTCGCCACTGTTCTGTCAATCTTATGACTCTAGGTCAAATATTTTTTGGACTACATGTGCCACAAGTTGAAAACTAAAGATCAACAAAGGGCCATAATTCTGTTAAATTTGGTAGCAGCAAAAAATCTTTCCTTTACTACCATCTACACATTAAGGTTGTTCATCCCTGGAAGTTTAAGCAAAATCTGCCATCCGGTTTAAGAGGAGTTGCATTCACAAAATTTCTACATAGTATATAGTGAAAAAATCAACAAAGGGCAATAATTCTGTAAAATTTGGTCGCAGCAGAAATTCCTTCCTTTACTACCATCTACACCTTAAGGTTGTTCATCCCTGTAAGTTTAAGCAAAAATCTGCCATCCGGTTTAAGAGGAGTTGCGTTCACAAAATTTCTACATAGTATAGAGTGAAAAAATCAACAAAGGGCCATAATTCTGTTAAATTTGGTCGCAGCAAAAATTCCTTCCTTTACTGCCATCTACACATTAAGGTTGTTCATCCCTGGAAGTTTAAGCAAAATCTGCCATCCGGTTTAAGAGGAGTTGCATTCACAAAATTTCTACATAGTATATAGTGAAAAAATCAACAAAGGGCCATAATTCTGTAAAATTTGGTCGCAGCAAAAATTCCTTCCTTTACTACCATCTACACCTTAAGGTTGTTCATCCCTGTAAGTTTAAGCAAAATCTGCCATCCGGTTTAAGAGGAGTTGCGTTCACAAAATTTCTACATAGTATATAGTGAAAAAATCAACGAAGGGCCATAATTCTGTAAAATTTGGTCGCAGCAAAAATTCCTTCCTTTACTACCATCTACACCTTAAGGTTGTTCATCCCTGTAAGTTTAAGCAAAATCTGCCATCCGGTTTAAGAGGAGTTGCGTTCACAAAATTTCTACATAGTATCTAGTGAAAAAATCAACCAAGGGGCATAATTCTGTTAAATTTGGTCGCAGCGAAAATTCCTTCCTTTACTACCATCTACACATTAAGGTTGTTCATCCCTGTAAGTTTAAGCAAAATCTGCCATCCGGTTTAAGAGGAGTTGCGTTCACAAGATTTCGGGACGTACGGACGGACTGACTGACGGACGGACGGACGGACAAGTGCAACGCTATATGCTCCCACATTGTGGGGGCATATAAATAAGGAAGACAATATAAATCATGGAAATGCAGAATTTTACAAAAAGGAAACACATCTAAACTAAACATGATAATCCCATGTAATCAAAATAATTAAGCTGTACAATGTACTGTATTTAAAATCAAGTGACACAGGGAGACAAAAAGATAAACAAGAGCTGTCCGTAAGACAGCGCGCTCGACTTTTTTATTGCTTGCCAATAAAAAAAGTTTTTGCAGTAAAAGGCAATACAAGAATCTCTGTATTTTTAAAGTGAACAATGGCCATGAGCATTAAGATATTTAGTGAAGAATTATTTTACTGAATTGTGTGATACCCTTGAACACTGCAGCAAAGTTTGAAATGTTTAAGTCAAAAGAGGGCTGGTAAGAAAGAAAAAAAAACTTTTTTAGTGCTTGCCTATAATACAAAACATTGACAGTTAAGGGCCATAATTCAAATAAAATCTTTGACAGAATTACCTTCTCCTGGACATGTTTGGGAATCATGATTGTAAACAAGTATTCCAACTTTCAAATTAATATCTCAAACAGTTCAGTCAAAAAGTGGACTGGTACTAAAAACTTAACCAAGATTCTAAGTCGATAAAAGGCCTTAATTTTTAAAACAAATCCTTGACAGAGTTACCTTCTCTTGCGTACAGATGGGGGTAATGATGTGAAATAGCATTAAAAGTTTCAAAGCAATATCTCAAAGGGTTAAGGCAATAAGTGGATTTTACCCATATTCAATGTATTTTCTAAGTCAAAAAGGGGCATAATTCTGTCAAAAACCTTGACAGAGTTATGTCCTCTTGTCTGTTGATGAAGGTCGTGATGGTAAACAAGTATGGTCAGTTTCAAAGCAATACCTCCAATGGTTTTGAAATAAAGTGAGGTGGTACAAAAAACTTAACCAAGCTCAATACACTTTCTAAGTCAAAAAAGGGCCATAATTCTGTCAAAAACCTTGACAGAGTTATGTACTCTTGTCTGTAGATGGAGGTTATGATGATGGTGAACAAGTATGGTAAGTTTCAAAGCCATACTTGTAATACTTCTGAAATAAAGTGGGGTGGTACGAAAAACTTAACCAAGGTGTGACGCCAACGCCGACGCTAACGCCGACGCCGGGGCGAGTAGGATAGCTCCCCTTTTCATAGAAAAGTCGAGCTAAAAATGACAAGAGCTACAAGAAACTTGTGCATGAAAATTTTGATACAATGAGTTTTTTAACATGCAAGAAAAAATTGCAGGCATTCTATAGAAAAAGAAATTAATAACATTACGTCATAGAATACATCACAACTTTGATACTTTATAATCAGTTATCACTTGATCAACGTCATATATCACGTTTTACAAATATATTTAACAACCTCAGTAGAAAATCAATATAAATATATAAATCTATGAAACATAAATGTAAAGTTAACATAAAGGACAAATAAGTAAAGTTAACAAATAAGTAAAGTTAACATAAAGGACAAATAAGTGAGGACAAAAAGGCACAACACAATATAAGATGTACCCGCTGAGCAAACAACTGTCGCTGTCGTTCAATAGCCGGGTTTTTATGTCGAGGAAACCCTCGTCGCAATGGTGGTGGTAACACCTCAGATTGTACAAATAAACAGCCATTTTTTATATATATATTTGTGAACAATATGACATCTAGTATTACATTCTATAAATCATTCAACATCATGACAGCAAACATATTCCTGATATTGTATTACATATTCTCTAGTTAAATGTGAATATATTCTTTTGGTATTTTCACAAAGATCCTATATTTAAAAACAGCAGAAAAACAAAATATTAGTTTAATATACAATAGTTAAATTGTTTAATTTTGCTGGCATTAAATTTCAGACAAAAGGCAGAGACAGATTACTTAAATTCCATGCAAGATTATATTGGTCTTGGCCAGTGGCCTAATATTTCGACAAAAACAACATGTATATCAAAAAGTGATTATTTTCCAGGGTTGTTCTGATAGAACTGCATGCAAAACCTTAACCAGTAAATTTTCAAGAACAAAAAAATCAGTAAATATTCATGCTCCAGTTATTTGTCTTAGTCAGTGACCTTCAGATATATATTAAGATTGAAGTCCAGCATATGTGTGGATTCTGTGGTGAATAAGATAACCATTTTTCTTTGAATACTGTGATAAACATAATTACAAGATATATACCTCTGGAGCTTCTGTAGTAACTTCCTGGTTGTCTCCCTTTGCTGGCTCTTCACTACCAGGAGATTTATAGATAGATTTGATATTAGGCCATACTTTTAATACAAAGTGATCCAGGTCCACTTCCTCCTCACCTTCCAGATGTTCCTAACATGAATAATATATCTTAACTTATGACTTGTCAAACTAAGTAAACATATAAGACAATGGAAAAAACTATGTCAGAAATGCATACACTTCTTTTCCACTTTTTTTCAGTTCAAATCTAGTTGTATACCATTTCACAATTTTGACATAACAGTTTTAAACACAAAATATAAAACTATTATTGATTTTGAATTCTGGCAAACTATGGCAGGGCAGAAAATATCTATCTTAGCAAACATAATGTATAAGTATTGAGTTATGTGTTTATAATTCAATAAAAACATAAGTATTTTACCTTAGCTTCATCATCACTCACTTCACCATTAGAATCAACATCAAACATTGACAGACCTTTTATCTCAGATAGAGATATCCTAAAATAAAACCAGTTTCCTTTGTGTATTTCATGACTTCAAAGAGTAATTTTATCAAACAGTAATAATAAATGCAACCATTTTCTTAATTCTGCAATCTCAAGTCATAAAACTGGTACAAATTAACAAATAGACCATGTATGGCACAGTCGATATTAACATTAAAGTGTATAAAACTATAATTCTATAACAATAATTATTGTTTAAATTTCAAAAACCAGTGCTTCCAAAATGTATGTATGAAAAAAAATTGAAGTATATTGCCTTAAAGTGAAAGGAACAGGCATGAACTCATTGCCAACATTTAAAACCATTCTCTTAAATAACAGACTTGCTATGTTACAACTTTTACGAAAAAAGATTATAGGATTGTGGAAAATATACAATTTTACTGTTGATAATAACTCGTCATTTTATAATGTGCCTATGTAACAACAGCTGGAGATATAATATGTATTTACTTGTTGTCGTTATTAGCATCCAACTCAGCAAAAGCAATCTCTGCTCTCAACTTTTCTTTCTCTGCATTCCTTCTCTCTAGCTCCTCTGTAAATATATTCAAACATTTATCTCAATAGATCAAATATTTCACGTGACTGCCTCTCTAAAAGTTTCCATATAGCAAAGCAATGTAAGATAAAGTTTTATTTTTAATAGCAGCAGTGAAATGTTCTAGAATGTTTATGAGAGGTAACTATGGTAACTACCATTCCAGGCAGCTTCATGTTTGTCCTTGGCTTCCTTCTCTGGTGCCTCAGCATCATTCTTCTTAGCTGAAAATAAAACTGTACTTTATAATACATGTTACATTGCCATTACTTTATTGTCATAACTTATCACTTACTATTGTATACATAAATGCTGAAGCACAGTTTACTATGATTAAGGACAACTTCTACTCACCACAGAAAGTAAAGAGTTAAGCTTAAGCATCCTTACCATTAACCTTAACATTCATTACATACACCTACATAATCTTGAACAAGTATGCCAATAAGTCACAAAAAAATGGGTCAAAGACAGAAAAGGCCGGGTTGCATTTGTACACCAAATATCATGAGGCTGTGATATTACGAAAAGAATTTACCATTGACCCATTAATGTCGAAAATTTAATTCAGTGGGTAAACAGGAAGTGGATTAGCTACACACCTAAAATCAAATCCTTACTGTATGGGACCATGTGTCAATGCTGTATGCAAAATATCAAGAGGCTGTGATTAGTAGTTTCTGAGAAAAATGTTATGAAAATTTCCTACCATTGACCATTAATGTGAACAGGAAGTGGATGACCAACAGACCTGAAATCAAATCCCACGGTATGGGACTATGTGTCAATGCTGCATGCCAAATATCAAGTGGCTGTGATAAGTAGTTGCTGAGACAACTGTTACAAAAATTTCCTACCATTGACCATTAATGTTGAAAAATTTAACTTATTTAACTAAGTGGATAAACAGGAAGTGGATAAGCGACAGACCTGAAATCAAATCCCACAGTATGGGACCATGTGTCTATGCTGTATGCCAAATTTTAAGTGGCTGTGATAAGTAGTTGCTGGGAAAACTGTTATGAAAATTTCCTACCATTGACCATGCATGTCGAAAAATCTTACTAATTTAACTAAATGGATAAACAGGAAGTGGATGAGCGACAGACCTGAAATCAAATCCCAAGGCATGGGACCATGTGTCTATGCTGTATGCCAAATATCAAGAGGCTGTGATAAGTAGTTGCTGAGAAAACTGTTCCGAAAATAGCCTACCATTGACCATTAATGTTGAAAAATCTTACTAATTTAACTAAGTGGATAAACAGGAAGTGGATGAGTCAGACCTGAAATTATATCCCACGGTATGGGACCATGTGTCTATGCTGTATGCCAAATATCAAGAGGCTGTTGAGAAAACTGTTACGAAAATTTCCTACCATTGACCATTAATGTTGAAAAATCTTACTAATTTAACTAAGTGGATAAACAGGAAGTGGATGAGCGACAGACCTGAAATTATATCCCACGGTATGGGACCATGTGTCTATGCTGTATGCCAAATATCAAGAGGCTGTGATAAGTAGTTGCTGAGAAAACTGTTACGAAAATAGCCTACCATTGACCATTAATGTTGAAAAATCTTACTAATTTAACTAAGTGGATAAACAGGAAGTGGATGAGAGACAGACCTGAAATTATATCCCACGGTATGGGACCATGTGTCTATGCTGTATGCCAAATATCAAGAGGCTGTTGAGAAAACTGTTACGAAAATTTCCTACCATTGACCATTAATGTTGAAAAATCTTACTAATTTAACTAAGTGGATAAACAGGAAGTGGATGAGCGACAGACCTGAAATTATATCCCACGGTATGGGACCATGTGTCTATGCTGTATGCCAAATATCAAGAGGCTGTGATAAGTAGTTGCTGAGAAAACTGTTACGAAAATAGCCTACCATTGATCATTAATGTCGAAAAATCTTACTAATTTAACTAAGTGGATAAACAGGAAGTGGATGAGAGACAGACCTGAAATTATATCCCACGGTATGGGACCATGTGTCTATGCTGTATGCCAAATATCAAGAGGCTGTGATAAGTAGTTGCTGAGAAAACTGTTACGAAAATTTCCGACCATTGACCATGCATGTCGAAAAATCTTACTAATTTAACTAAGTGGATAAACGGGAAGTTGATGAGGGACAGACCTGAAATTATATCCCACGGTATGGGACCATGGGTCTATGCTGTATGCCAAATATCAAGAGGCTGTGATAAGTAGTTGCTGAGAAAACTGTTACGAAAATTTCCTACCATTGACCATTAATGTCGAAAAATCTTACTAATTTAACTAAGTGGATAAACAGGAAGTGGATGAGGGACAGACCTGAAATTATATCCCACGGTATGGGACCATGTGTCTATGCTGTATGCCAAATATCAAGAGACTGTGATAAGTAGTTGCTGAGAAAACTGTTACGAAAATATTTTCCCCGCCCGCCGCCCGACATTCACCATACTATAACCCGGATTTGCACCAGTGCAACCCGGCCAATAAATCATCACAAATGCTCAGCCTCATTACAGTCAATATTTACATTAAAATCCCACAATTTATGATGATGAAATGATCAATACAGTCGACTCTCGTTATCTCGAAGTCATCGGGACCGTCCAAAAAATATCGAGATAACGAAATGTCGAGATAAACATATTAGGGTTTGAACAAGGCAGAAGCTGATTTTTACAAAAGACATGTGCATACCTTATGTCAAATAAACTATGATATCTCCATGTCTTCTTTTTATAAGCCCAGTATCGCAAAGTCAATATTTAACAAAGTAGCATTAGCGGATGTTTACCAGCGGAAATACGGGTGTCTGTGATAAAAACACATAGTGAGGTTTACTCAGTAATGTAATACACCAAAATAGTGAAAACATTGTTTTTAGGGTGGTTGATCCGGATATCCTCCCGGGTTAGTTATCGGGATTGTTCGACCGCTGTTTGATTTTTTGATGTTGTGAAACAATATTGTAACGATAACGTTTCTATACTTTCACTATTTCATTTACAGTTAAAAGTCATAATGAATTAATACTGTGTTCCAATATTTATAAAGAACGTAAAATTCGGTCATTTTGGACATAAGTCAATCAACACGCTAATTAGATTAACTTTTATAATAACAGCTCAACTTGTTACAAACATAATCATCATTATGACACGCGCTATTGAGCAATTATCGTCTAGTTTGTGTTTTTCACAAGACGAAAACTATTTGTCGAGATAAACAAAGGATAATAGTGTGAAAATAACTGTAGGGGCTGAAATTTTACATCGAGATACTGAAAATATCGAAATAAAAATATCGAGATAAACAAATATATCCAATATAGATAAAGAAGGAAGAAAATCGGGACTTTCAAAATTTCATCGAGATAACGAAATATCGAGAAAAGAGATGTCGAGATAACGATAGTTGACTGTATTTACATTTTCATATCTGACCTTGGACCTGTGTGTGACCTTGGTAAAAAGGACCTAAATTATATTGTTTTTCTTTGTTTATCTATTGTACATCATTTATAAATGTGGCACTTTCAATCACTTCATAAATGTAGAAGATATTCCCAAAGTCTCCAGACAAAAATGGATGCGATCCACCAGGAAAGATCCCATATATATTATAGTTATTTTAAAAAGATCATATAAAAAGAATTCCTGAGCATAGATATAGGTGGGGTTTTTTTACGTATAAAAAAAATACCAACACTTATGAAAGGACAATGCTAACAATGTATCGAACAAGAGCTGTCTATTGGACAGTTTGCTTGACGTGCTTGATAGTAAAACAACAGCCTGAATAATGTAGAATTTTCTAAATTCAAAAAGAGTCATAATTCTGTCAAAATCCATTTAAGAGTTATAGACCTTGGAATGTGACCTCTACTTATGCTCTTAAATTGAGTGAAGTTTCTGCCCCTTACCTTCAGTTGTTTTAGAGATACCAATTTGCATGCAAAAACTGAACCGAAGTTTGGTGCCAGTACCGATGCCCCCATACAATAGCCCTCCCTATAAAAGCTAAAAAACAAGAGCCATGTCAACATGGCCATCCCCCGCCGATGTGTTTGCTCATTGGATGAATGTATATGTAGTAGAGCGGAATAATTCCATTTTAAGAGCTCTTTTAGTAATGAAAACTGATGGCTATAGTGATTACAGATTTGAAACCTATGTGAATACTGATGGCTGAAAATAACAAAGGGCAATTACTGAAAAATAATGCAGGGTAGGTTATCATTCTTGTGTGCTGCATCCCTCCTCAGTAAAATCTATCCACCTATGAAGTTTCAAGTTGATACCTCAAATACTTTTTGAGAAAAAAATTGAATTGAAAAAATAAGTATGAAAAAGAACAAAGGGCAATAACTCAAAAATTATAAAAGGTAGAGTTAACATTCTTGTGCAGTGCACACCTCCTGAGTGAGATCTATGCACCTATGAAGTTTCATTTTGATATCTCAAAGGCTTTTTGAGTTATGCTCTGGACAAAAATTAATTTTGAAAAATAACTAAGGGCAATAACTCAAAAATAATGCAGGGTAGAGTTATCATTCTTAAGCACTGCACTCCTCCTCAATGAGATCCATCCACCTTTGAAGTTTCAATTGATACCTCAAATACTTTTGAGATAAGCTCTGGACAAAATAGCATGAAAAACAAAACAAAGGGCAATAACTCAAAAATTGTATAGGGAAGAGTTATCATTCTTGCGCACAACATTCCTCCTCAATAAGATCTATCCACCTATGACATTTCATGTTGATATCTCAAACACTTTTTGAGTTATGCTCCACTCAGGTGAAAAATTAGGTATGAAAAATAACAAAGGGCAATAACTCAAAAATTATGAAAGGTAGAGTTAACATTCTTGTGCACTGCACCCCTCCTGAGTGAGATCTATGCACCTATGAAGTTTCATGTTAATATCTCATAGGCTTTTGGAGTTATGCTCTGGACAAAAATCAATTTTGAAAAATAACAAAGGGCAATAACTCAAAAATCATGCAAGGTAGAGTTATCATTCTTGTGCACTGCACTCCTCCTCAATGAGGTCTATCCACCTATGAAGTTTCAAGTTGATAACTCAAATACTTTTAGAGATATGCTCCGGACAAAAATGTCGGACGGACGGACGGAAGGACGGAGACTATTTCTATATCCTCCGCCGAAAATTTGGCGGGGGATAATAATTGTTTTAATCTTATGTTAGGCATGTTATGTCAATCATATAGTTCTTATTCATATTTAGCTATCAAGTTTAATGTATATACCTTCAAACTCAGCCTTCACAGCTTCTAATTCCAACTTGCTCTTCTCTAACAGTTCAAGGTCTGCCTATAAACACACAAAAATACATGTACATACATTTTCTATTTATTTCATGAGTTAATCATCTTGTACACAAGTTTCTGCATTTTCATGTAGTGTTTAAGAATTTGACAACAGAAACACATCACTTAAAATGTAATCCTACAGCCACTATCAAACACTACAAATATTCTTACAAGTTAACCTTTGACAATATTTACAGAAAATAACATAAATGTCTTTGCCTCTAGATATATGTTGCATTACACAGCGATATGTTTAAAACTTAAAGAAAATAAAAGACTTCATTTTCAATTGTGAAGATGGCTTGAAGTTTATATGAACTATTCTGAAGATAGCTTCCTGCAGACATTTTCACAAAAAATCTTAGGATTTATCTTAAGTTTTTCACTTACGATAATCGTAAGTTAAATCTTAAGTCATTTTCACAAAGCCACACGTAAGTTAAAATTTTATCTTAAGATAAAAAATTCACTTACGATAAATCTTACGACAAAAACATCCCTAGCTACGTTCATTTGATAGTGATGTGCATGCTCTATATTTGATTCCGGTTTAAAAATCAAGTAATCAAGAGCTTAAAATATCTATTGAACACAATCAAATTTCAATAAGAACAAAAAAATGATTCAAACTGATATAATTTATATCTTGATTGAAGATAATTATATATATCTAAAAGATTCAGAAAGAAGGTCTACTATGTTACAAATAAATAAAAGCGTACCACTAGTACATGCTGGCAATGAAATCGAACTCACCATTTGTACAAATTATAAGTTTTCAATAATACTAGTCTACAGTATAGTTCACATTATTTTAAACTATTCATAACCCTCTCCATCGTGACGTCATCAAGTCATGACGTCACAAATGTATATGTTGAAAAAAAATTATCTCAATTTGTGTTATTTATAGCATACTGTTCGCTTAATATTTAGTTTATCTCCAACTTTGTGTTTTTTTTTATTCAGTTTAGGTAAGAGATACATGATATTTTACCCTTAAGAGAGAAAAAATTACACTTACGAACGGGAAAGACCTATCGTAAAGTTACGACAGATTTTGCACTTAAGATTTTCTTAAGATTTTTTGTGAAAAGGAGATTTATCGTAAGATTTCTCTTATGACAAAAAATTGTCGTAAGATTTTTTGTGAAAATGTCTGCTGGGCTTACCTTTGCATTAGGAACAACAGTGTCAATGCCACAAATGCACCCAGCGTAAATGCTCAGTCTCATGATTTAGAATATTTACATTAAAAGTACTTAAAGGCCCATTATGCCCCAGAAATGCTTTTACTTTCATTTCTTGAAAGCTTTTTATTTCTGGTGTACTTTAATAGTTTCCAAAAAGATACTCATTGGTCAATTACATGATCTTACTTTTTCTTCTTTTGCTTTTTGACAATAAGTCTACTGACAGTGATTTAGTATTTTGTATGGAAGTAAAAATCTACTTTGTTTACACTTTGCTACTTTTATGGCAAATGATCTCACATTTACCACTACTTTCTTCATGTAACAAGCATCTAACATGCTCTAAAACCATTATTTAAATGTTATAAAGTTTTATTTGAGATCTATGTGTCACCTTGACATTTGAACTACAGACCTGGTTCATGTGTGCAGTAACCTTTCATAGTGGTGAACATTTGTATCAAGTAATACTAGAATTTGTCCATGCATTTTAAAGAAGTGCTCTGGACAAAACTGGACAACACCCCAGGCAAATCTACCCATTCACCAGGGGCAATCCAATTATTCAATAATTTTTTTAAAGGCTTCACAAAAAGGATAGGTTTTAAACATATGGTCATTATTGCAGGCTTGGTTAAAAAAAATTCATGCAAGGTCGAGTTAGTTAGTTGAAAAATCATGTATTTAACAACTTTGTTAGCATAGACATTAAGTTGAAAAAATATAGACTTCATTTCATTATTACCTTTTTCTGTTCCCTGGTTTGTTTTCCCTCCTCAATAAATTTCAACTTTAACTTGAAGCCCTCTTCCTGTAATTGCCTAACTCTGTCAGCCTCCTCTCTCATCTTTTTACCTAACTCTCTACAAAACAACATTCAAACACATTCACTAATCTGGAACAACAAATGTTCTCATACATTTTAATATATTCTATTTATGAGTTACAAGATATTGTTCAAAGTTGTTCTTTATGAACAACAAGATATTGTTTTAATTTTTAAAGTTGTTCTTTATGAACAGTACTGAATACAAACATTGTATTACTGAATACAAACATTGTATTATCTAGAAGATAAACACTTATCATATCTTAGATAATTATATTTCTTTCAGACAATCTATTTACTAAATGTTATGCATTATGAATTTAGGTATGGCAAAAAGTGTGTTCCCCTAAGAATTTGGAACTTACAATTCTAGTTTTAGAGATATTAACAAACTGAATAGCCAACAGTATAAAGCCGTGTCAGACACCTTGGATGTGCAGACTGTCATAGTTCTATACTGTTGGCATGTGCTAGTCACTGTCAATGTAATAATTAGGAATGTAAGCAAGACCATCATACTTGCAGTTGTTGACACAATCAATGCTACCATCCCACTCATCAGTGCCATCACAACAATCTATATAAACACACAAAATGTTACACTCTGACTAATACAAACAACACATTTTAGAAAGTATCAGGCCTGAGTGAAAGTACATGTACATGCACTCATTCTTTAAAAAAATATGATCACAAATCAATATTTAACAGTGGCGTAGCTACTATTAGGCCATGTAGGTACGGGCCTACAAGTTGGTCATGAAATTAACATTTTCAAAAGTCCCAAAAATACAATAAAAACAGGCGAGGGTGGGGTTGGTAGCGGGTTCAAGCCGTATAGTTGTGTGCATGATTTACCATCCTCAGTAAAGTTTGCATCTAATCAAATTCATAGTTTAAAATAATTGTTTTGATAACTTTGGAACACGCATTTTGCTCTTTTTAATCAGAACTTGTTATTGGCTTTAGGAGGCTAAGTCCCCAGACCCCCTTTTATGTGCCTACAAGTTGAAAAAAGCTGGCTACGCCCCTGTTTAAATAATCATCAAGTCACTTTATTTAAAATGTTTTATTGCGTTCAACCAAAAATTTGTGTACCTAGTCACTATAAAATTATAATAATTCTTCATGCTAGAGTCTCAAGTCTTAAAACCTTAAGAAAGAGTTTCTCCATGACTGATACTAGAACTAAAAACACTCTCATTATTCTTCAAATTGCAAAACTTAAAATCAAAAAAGTAAACAAAGCAACTTACCACAAATACCATCATTGACCCTTGAAGATAGAACATTTAGTGGTTTGTATCCGGCATTAGTACAATGAAATTTTCCCACAGGACATGCTGATGTACCTGAAATCATGTTTCCGTGACAATATGCATTTAGCTGTCATTACTATCTATATTTCAATAAAATTGAGGACAAAGACTGTATAATATGGGCACAATGTGTGATTAAACCAATCTGAATGTACATTTCTCTTTATTTTGTCTATTAAGTTACCAGGTTATTTTTTTCTACATTTATACATGTTATTTGAATCAAACATTATACAAGAGGGCCATGATGGCCCTGAGGTCGCTTCACCTGTATATAGGCCTCCCCCCCCCCCCCCCCCCCCCCCCCCCCCCCCCCGGCAGGGCCAATTTTAACCAAGGGCTTTTATTTGAACAAAAACTTGGTAGACACCCATAAGAAGATGTTTCATGCTAAACATCTAAGCTCTAGCTCATTGGGTTTTTTCAAAGAAGATTTTTTAAGTTTTTACTATACACATATAGTTAAAAACAATGACACCCTGGGGCGGGGCCAGTTTTGACCCAGGGCTTTTATTTGAACAAACTTTGTAGACACTTGCTAGAAGATGTTTCATGTTTAATATCTAAACTCTAGCTATTTGGGTTTTTTCAAAGAAGAGTTTTAAGTATTTTGCTATACACATATAAGGAAAATCAATGACCCCCGGGGCGGGGCCAATTTTGACCCCAGGGCTTTTATTTGAACAAACTTAGTAGACACCCATTAGAACATGTTTCATGCTAAATATCTTAGCTCTAGCTCTTTGAATTCTTTAAAAGAAGATTTTTTAAGTTTTTACTATATGCATATAGGGAAAATCAATGACCTCCCTGGTGCGGGGCGGTGCCAATTTTGACCCCAGGGCTTTTATTCGAACAAACTTGGTAGACACTCACTAGAAGATGTTTCATGCTTAATATCTTAGCTCTAGCTCTTTGGGTTCTTTAAAAGAAGATTTTTTAAGTTTTTACTATATGCATATAGGGAAAATCAATGACCCCCTGGGGCGGGGCCAATTTTGACCCCGGGGCTTTTATTTGAACAAACTTGGTAGACACTCACTAGAAGATGCTTCATGTCAAATATCTAAGCTCTAGCTCTTAGGGTTTTTTAAAAGAAGATATTTAAAGTTTTTTCTTTTGGTTGCAATGGCAACCAGAGTTCTGCATGGAATTAAATTCTTTGAACAATTTTTAAAGGTGTCCACCAAAGGAACATTCCTGTGAAGTTTGGATGAAATTGGCTTAGTGGTTTATGAGGAGATGTCATTTAAAGTAAAAGTTTACGGACGGACGGACGCCGGACGAAAAGCGATCACAAAAGCTCACCCTGTCACTTTGTGACAGGTGAGCTAAAAACTAAGTTAACTAACAATACTTCATATCGTATTACAGCATTATACAATATACAACTGATAATATGTTTTAATCTGAATACATTCAACAAAACAGTTTATATTTACACTCTATGAAAGCAAACAATTCAATAAACTTGTGATAAAGGTTTAATATTTGTTTAATTTATAAATGACAAGTTTGAAGCATCTGAGAAAATCAGATATCTTAACAAAAAAGCCTAGATATTTGAAGACTACAGCAACACAACCTACCTGGTTCATCTGTGCCGTCTGGACAGTCACAATAATCATCATTCACATACTCAAACGGGATCTGCTTACTGCCGTCAAGACATTGAAAAGGTACATCAGGACGGTAAAAACTGGACACTGTAAATAATGTTCAAATTTAAACATTAAATACTGAACAACACAGCAGCCATCAGAGAAAAGTGATACCTATCATTATGTTTCAACTGGATGTTTGCTTTATTAAATTTGAAATTCTTTATCATGTTAATCATTCATTTTTTCCTTGAACAGAAACTGGATTAATTTTACAATCCCTGGTGACGGATATTTAATTTACCATTGAATCATTATAGATCCTGAAAATACATAACAAAGGTAAACTATATTTTTTATTGAATTATTGTTCATTTAAAATTTAAAAGAGGAAAACCAAGACAGAAATATCAATAATAATATTTAATTAGGTTAATAAATGATCATGAATTATCACTAGATAACTGCAAAATTGGTCAACACTAATAAACTATAGAATGATGTATTAATCAATCCACAAAGAATTACTAATCATTATAAGCAAATTGCTTTTGTAGTATATTTCATTCTACTGTTTCTAACAACACATGTTCAGTTAAACAATTTAGCACTGCTTACAAACCCAAGCCAGACTGGCCAAAATGTAATTGTCATAAAGCAATATAGTCAGGGCACTCAATACTATTGTGCATACATGTGAACTCTCCCACTTTAAGCAGGAGATTCCCACTTTCTGCAGGATTTTTTCAAAGGACTTTCTTCTTTGTTTGTTGCAAATTCTAAAATCTCCCTCTTTTTTAAGAAAAATCTTCCACTTGATCATCAAAAAAAGTTCACATGTATGATTGTGGATAGTTTATCAGATTCTAGGAAGCTACATATCTTGCTTACTAGTCCAACTAATTAGACTTGTCAAAGAGACACCGAGATAATTTTGGACGGGCGCTGTCTTTTTCCAAGTCCAACCACGAACTGCATTTTTATGCACAGACGCTTCCCAATTAGAAGTTGTTGGGAGCGAAAACTAAAAAAGTTTCAAAGAAACGGTCTACATTACCTGAAAGAGAACCGTTTTTTATGCAAGGTTCCAAGTTGTCATACTTTAAAGTCGAACACAAGTCTAAATATTCCACTTTAACTTTTTAAATCGTTGAAAATTATTGTAAGCGGCCATATTGGAAAATGACGCAAGCGGTGACAGGGTAAAACAGGGTAAAATTGTAAAATTTCCATGGTGTAACACAGGTATCGGCGGCAATCGATTGTATTTGTCAAGCTTTAATATAATTTTGTTTAATTATTTATTATGAATTATGCAGGAATAACTT